TAGGTGCTGGCTGCCAGAGGTCCCAGAAAATGTATGGGCCTCGGTGAGAGCCTGAAGGCTCGGGGGCTGAGGGAGGCATCAGGAGTGTCTCGTGTCCTTCCTCCCCGCTCCCCATCTCCAAGGTGGGCGGTCCCACCCCTACCCCATCCCCGAGTCCTGACAGTGAAGCTGAGAGTCAGTGTCCAGTGGGTTGAAAGACAGCACTTAGGACAAAGGTCTTGCAAGTCCGTTTTCCCCGTAAGCCATCAGGATTTGGCGCTGCAGAAGCCCAAAACCCAACAATGAATGTATGTTGTTTCTCTGTGTCGGCTGAAGCCTCTCCTTTTGGGGTTAAGCTAAAGCCGGAATTAGAACAGGAAAGGTAGCAGGCGGGAAGGGAGCACCGGGTGAATGAAGGGGGTCTCGCCTCTCTTTTGCTTTCAGAGGCAGAGCCCTGAGTTTCATTTGTAAGGTGCTGGTTCCACGGTAGGAACCCAGTGGGTGGCCAACGATTAGTGACAGGCAAGCAAGGAAAGATTTGAGGATCTGTGCGTGAAGACCCCACCCCACCTCCACACACACAACTCGCTAAGCTCTGTTTCATGGGACAGGCCAGCGCCTCTTACTGGTCCACTGTGGTACAGGAATCAGGAAGCCCTAGGGCAGAACTGGGGCGGACCTCAGGCAGGAACCTTCCCGGGGTGCGTGGCCTTCCCGGTGGGCAAGCAGGAGTCTGCCCCCTCGTGGCCAGAGGGAGACACTGCAGCTGGCAGCAGCTGGAATACAAACTGACCCGTTCACGTGTCATGAAGAAGAAACTTTGCAAACCGTTGGGTCAGGACCTAAGCGAAAGGCCTTCAAGCCATTACAAGCTAGCATGACAGAGGCTAAGAAATTCAGAAAATATTTCTGCGGATTGAAGCGAAACAAGTGGAAGATGAAACCTACATTAAAACGTCAAGAGGAAGAGCTAACACGAATCGTGCTTTGCAGGTGCCAGGACTGGTACCAAGAGCTTGGCATGTGTCTCCGTCCTCACTGCAGCCCTGCTCAGCAGGCACAGTGACTGCTAAGGGCACGGAGGGCCCGCGCTTGCCTGCAGCCTGGGGCCAGGCATGGAGGCATCCGCCGGGTCCTCACCATGACTGTAAATGTGCAAAAGCCCCAAAATGCAGTGTGCGTGGACTGGACGAGGGGCAGGGGCTTTGTTCTCGTTGGAGAATAGTCTTCAGTGCAGTTGTGTGTTGCTTGTAGCCTTTACAGCTCTGCAGAACTAAACAATAAGAGGCTTGCGGGCAGGCGGGCAGGCCGTGCTCGTTCAGTGCGACGTCTCCGAGCTCGGCTTCAGACGGGGACGGGAGAGCCACCCGCTCACACTGAGAGCCTGAGGACTGCTAGGAAGTGCCTCCGTGGGCCTGGGCTTCCCTGTGCGCTGATTGATGCCAACCAGCGCTGTCCACAGCAGTGCCTGCGGCCTCATCCCTGCCTCCCCTCTCTATACACAGGACGAGCCAGGAGCAGGCCTGTCGCTGCCCGCCACGCCCCCCGCCAGGGGTCAGAGGCATGGACGGAGGGGCCCGGCTCCAGGCTGGGGGAGGGCTGTGAGGACTCCACACACAGCGGCAGGGCGGGAAGGAGTCCGCGTCACTGGTTAGGGACAAGGTGAGACAGCTGCGGGGAGACCGCTCTGGGCGAGAGCCTCCCGAGGTCTGACAGGTTTTAGGGCTGGGGTTTGAGAACAAAGGAATTGAGCCCCGGTGGCTGAGAAAGCAAGGAGCGTGGACTTGGCCGGAGGCCGCCGGCCACCCTGGCTGTGGGCGCCGTCCGTGGCAGCTGGGCCTGGGCCGTCCGTGGCAGCTGAACCCGCCTGGTCTCAGGCTGCGAGACTTTGGGGTCTGTGATCCCCTTTTTTCCCACAGCAGCCAACTTGATAAGCTGTGGAAGGAGAACTCAGGACTGGAAAGCTGATTCATGAGGCAAACAATGATCCGCCTGGCAGCAGGTGTCTGGGCCTGGCTCATGGGGTTTCTGGTTTGTTTTTTGTGATTAGTGAGCCTTTATTTATTTTATTTTTTATATATTTTACATTCTTCTTCCTTTTTGTACAATGTGTGCTTCTCCTCTCAGGTGTGTTCCCTCTGGAATTCCCACTGCCAGTTCACCCTGCATCATCCCCACAGTCCTGGGTGCTCTTCCCTTCCGTTTTGATCCTTCTCCTGTCTCCTCCCGTGCAGAATGTCTCTCATTTATAATTGCCTGCTAGTTTTGTTTTGCAGTCCATTACAATTATTTTTTTCCCCTGATCCCTTATTTGATTCTCCCACATTCCTCCTATAAGTGAAATCATCTGGCATTTTTCTTTTTCTTCCTGGCTTATTTCACTGACCATGATCCCTTCCAGCACCATGCACGTTGCCGTGAATGGCACATTTTTATCTTTTTGGTGGCTACGTAATATTCCATTGGGTATATAGAATGCATCTTCTTGATCCAGTCATCTGTTTTTGGGCGTTTGTGTTGTTTGTATATATCACCTACTGCAAATAGTAGCTCATCAGGTTTTGACCTCTTGTTTACTAGCCTGTGGGGGACAACAAAATTGAACAATAAAATGTTGTCCTTGAGTCAGGTCCTGCCCCTGTTCCAGGGCCATTTCTGTCTCATTAAGTGGCGATTTCATGCTTAAATTCAGCGTGAACTAGACACTGGAAGTCATTCTAATCCTGTAAATGATTAATGAAACAGAACTAAAATTGTAGTTACACTCATGTTGCTAAAATGGTGAGTTTCTTCCCCCAAATGATGCCGGTTTTCTGGGAAACAGGAAAGAAGGAAAAATACAAGTAACTGGTCCTCCTTTCCCAGCTTTCACCAGCTTCTGGCCTGGTGTTATGTTTACAGTCTGCAGAGGGGCAGCCCAACCAGCCTTTGTTCTGTTTCATGGCTGGGGTTCAGAAAGCAGGATTGCAAGCTCTGTGTGCTGACAGGCGAGGATTTGCCTGTTTGTGCTAATTCAACCAAATCATCTGCAGAGAGATCTTGGGGCCATTTGTAAAGCCCCAGGGGTCGGTGATCTGTTCATCTGTGGTGTGTGTGCCTCAGGGGCCTGGGGTTCCACGTCAGGAATTCGATTTGTCCAGTTACATCAGCACGGGGACAACAAACATCCTGTGTGTTCCCTGGGGGCTGGGCTCATGGGTGACCAGCACGGGGGTTAATGTGGCCTTGATCTGGCCAGATGTTCCAGGCGGAGGGCCTTGCCTCCTGCCCTCCTTCCAAGCGACTGCCCATCCGAATGGTGTCTCCAGGCTGGAGACTTCTGAGCCTTGTCTTCGCAGGGAAACAGGCTAGGCCTGCAGGCAGGGGCCGACCCGGGCCCGGGGCTGGCCTTTGCCCTCCGCTTGGGATCCCCACACCAGGTAACTTCTGCTCCCGCATAGGAAGTGCTATGACAAGAATTGGGGGTGGGGGCAGCAGAAACAACACTGTCAACTGAGGCAGGGATTCGGCAGCAACAGTGAGCCTGGCAGCCCACCCCCCGCCCCTTGCCCCTCCTGACACACTGTCACCCCGAGCCTGTACTCCGTGTCACAGTGTCTTCTTTACATTTGGGAATAATAGGTCTGACAGGTTCACACACTGCCTTGGGGCTTGTCAGGAGCGGGGTGATGACAGAGGTGAGATCCCCCAGCTCTCCCCCACCCCCAAACCCGTCCCAAAGGGTCATGCCACCCAGCCCCCAGGTCCCCTGTGCACCCTAAACACCTCAGCATTTCAAGCCCCTGGACATCCTGCAGTGAACTTCCTTTCCCATCCTGGTGAGCACCACTCACCCCATCACCCCGTGTTTGGGGGGGGGCTCTGGAGCTAGAGGACCTGTGACCCCGAATCTGCGACTCCTGTCCGTCCTGGTCCCCGCTTCTGGGGGCTGCAGGGGCTAAGGGTGCAGCCAGACATCCCCAGGGCCGCTCTCTCCCGCGCTCCGTGCTGTTTTCCACTCGAGCTGCCCTGCCCCACCGCGGAATGTGCTCCCTCTGCCGGCCCCACTTCCAAGGCGGCCAGAGCTGCCCTTCGAGAAATTAGCACCTCAGGAGTCTGGAGTCTGGTCACCCGCACAGGCGTACCCTGCCCTCTCTGCGGGAGGGCAGCCAGGGGAGAGGCGCCTGTGCTCTGTCGGGATGGACTGGGACTCGCTGTCCTCCTGACTCCTTAGTGGCGGCCGCGGCTTGGCCGTCACAGTGCGCACGCTTCCATTTGCACGCGGACGCAGCGGGCCGCGCCGGGTCGGAGGCGAGGCTGTGCCCTTCCTGCTCACAGCCTTAGCGCCCCGGTGTCCCGGGGACAGGTGGGGTGGATGGGCGTGCCACCCCCGCGCCCCGGTGGGGCCTGTGCGGGAGGGTGAGAGCCGGCCATTGGTGGCCCGGCTTTCCTGCCCTTCCACCCGCCGGGCTTTGTGCAGCTCTCCCTGTCTGGCTTTTCTTTACTTACCCCGGGGACAGCTCCAGGTTTGCTGGTAAAACTTTCTGAGCTCTCTCTGCAGAGGACCTGGGTCAGGCCAGCGCGCCCCCAGTTCACAAGCCCAGGGCTCACCCGACCCTGCCAGGGCCCCTCGGAGCAGGGGCTGTTATTTCTCGGTCCTGTGAAACAGAACTAAGGCACAGCGGTGCTATTTAGGGCCACACAGCTGACGCCTGGCTGAGCAGAGAGGCAGCCAGGCCGGCAGATCGTTCCAGAATCTGCTCCCAACAGCAGCATTGTCTGCCAGTCTTAAAGGGGGGCTGCCTGGACACCCCGCTTATCATTATTATTTTTACCCGCTAGTGCCTGGCCACTGGGTGCTGAGTACCCGCCCAGTGAACGTGGCTGCGGAGTGGACGGTCAGTGGGGGGTGGAGGACTAAGGAGCCGACGAGTCCGCCCCAGCCACCGGGGAGTTGGGCTGGAGACCACTCCCCGGGAGTCGGGCCAGAGACACCCCCAGGCCGCTATTCTCAAAGCGCTCTTCTGTTCCTCCCTTGGCAGACAAGAGCGAGAACGGCGAGGCGTACCAGAGGAAGAGGGCGGCCGCCCTTCCCGGGGGGCCCGTGGCCCCCGCGGGGCCCCCCGGGGCCCTGGCACCGACCGGTGGCAGCTGGCGGAGGATCGTGCTGCTCATCCTGGCCATCACCATCCACAACGTGCCAGGTGAGGCCCAGCGCAGCTGCGGGGAGCCCCGTGCCTCGCCCCCCGGGGGGCGGGGCAGCCACAGGCCCCTCCCTGAGGCTGGGGAGCCCGCTGCCATTCGCTGCCCAGCAGACTGGGGGTACAGTTGCCGGCGGGGCTTGGGCGGGAGTGGGGGAGAGAGCGCCGTCCCTGCCCGCGAGCCTCGGCTTCCTTTTCTCCATCCCCGCGTCTGTCCAGACCGTCCTTCCGCCTCTTCCAGCAGCCGCGTCCTTTATGTGACCCGGCTCCCTTCTCGGCCTGCGCCTTAGAAACTTGGGTGTCAGCTGGTGAACAGTGATTTCCCCAAGTTGAGGTGGTTATTGAAACGCGAAGAAGGAAGCAGGCACCTCCAGTCGCCACACTTGAGTCCATGTAGGGCGACACACTCGGGCGTCCTGGGGGGCCGGCAGGGCACCCACCCTGCCCGGTGTCCACTACCCCCGCACGTGGGGTCTTTCCGGTGGGAGACCAAGGACGCCCGAGGGGGGCGTCTGCCCTGCCAAGATGAATAGACTTGGTTCGAGTCCCGGTGGATGCCCGGGAGAGACGCAGGGGCACGCTGGCTGCCTCTGGGCATCGTGAGCACAGCTCCCGGGACACGGGCGTCCCCACCAGCGGAGTGGCGGGTGCCCTGCCTTCCGTTCTTTTTCTTAAGTTTTATCTATTTGTGTGCAGAAGAACTGGGGTGTAGGCCAAAGTTCAGAGGTGCAGGGAGTGGCGTGGGGGTGTGAGAGGGTCCCCCGGAGACAGAGTGGGGAGCAGAATCTACTGAAGTCCGCTGCCGAGGGGAGCCGCGGGGGGACAGGAGAGGCCTGCGGCGCCCCGGGGGCGCGGACTTAGCCCAGGGCCGCCGGGAGGCCCCCGGCTCACCGCATGAGGGGCGTCTGTGAACACAGCTGTGTCCCTTCCTTGCCGCGTTTCCGACGACTCTCCCAGATGTCCTTGGCGGCGGGGCCTCTCCCTTCCGGCGTGTTGGAACCATTTCCTCTGCGTCTTTGAATCCCTCTTCATTTTCTTTCTAATTGAGGCGATTCTGGTTCCCAGCGCTGTGTGTGATGTAGAGTGGGTTCACCCCTCCTCGGGGGTGAGTCACCACTCTTTGGATTCCTTTTCATTGAAAAAGAAAATGATGTCCTGTTGGTGCTCCGTTTCCAAAATAACAGGTGTTTCATTCTGAGTAACCGGAATGCACAGATACAGTAGAAAGAAAGATGCTGTTAAAAAAAAATACATTGCAGGGAGCAGGGAAGCGCCTCATCACGTTAGGAGTCCACCCGTTCCCTCAGGGGGACACGGCCCTGGGTTATTCAGGTCCTGCTCTTAAATGTCCCTGGTGTGACCTTGGCGGCTGGCTTGTCCCCGCAGCCGTCCACCTCAGAATCTCGGCTCCAGCCCTGCTGGCTGGTTACCTCCACAAGCGGCGTGAGCTCTCTGAACTTCGTTTCCCATTCGGTGCTGGGCCGTGCGTGTGGGAAACATGGCCGCTGTCCTCAGCGTCAGTGAAACCCGGCCGGCCAGGGCTTCCCGCCCTTGAGTCCTGAGACAGCCACATCCCGCTTTTGTCTGGACCTGGAATTGGAGTGGTGACCCCTGGCCACGCCTCGCTGTGCGCATTTCCCTGGGGAGGGCTTGACATCCTGTGAAGACTCTGGGTCATCTATAAAGATGACCTACATTCCAGCATATATGAATTCTGCCTGGAGCGCGATCCAGTCGGCCAGACACGCGTCCTCTGGCGTGGCTCTCGACCTCTGTGATTGCCGTCTTGACCTTGAAGTTTCTGTCACGTGGCCTGGCAGCTGGCTTGCCCCCAGATTTATTAACAGCATCTGCTTCGCGATTCCCACTTGACCTTGCCCTCTGGGTTGTGAGTAAACCTTGGGTTGATTTTCTAGCAGAAGCCTTTCGTGGGAGCCCAGAGCACAAAGCTGACCCACGCAGGTCTGCGTAAAGGTCGCTACCCACGACAGCCGAATAACCAGGCAGGTTTAGTCTGCGAAATGCCAGTCAGTGTTGGAGGAGTGGCCAGTGCTGTCTTTCCAGGCGAGGCGGCCATCTCCCTGCCCTTCACCACTTAACGAGGACTGAAGATTGGTCCATTGGTTCAGCACCCAGGGAGAGAGCAGAGCCTTCTGCTTTCGGTGCTGCTTCCCTGGCTCCTGGGAGAACCAGAGAATGTTCTGAGCCCAGACGACACAGTGAGAAAAGCCTACCTGCACCACCTGGCCCAGCCCTCCTGCCCCCAGGTGCTCTCAGGCGAGGCTTCCTGAGCTCATTCTGGCAGGTCAGCGGGCGTCAGCCTGTGCTGCGTCTGCTCACGCCACCCAGAACTTGAACTTGGGCCAGAAAACAAAGGCGTATCAGCAGGAAGATGTGTGGGAAGACACCAAAATGTGGTGATCCTCGGGTGTTAAGGCGGCAGGAGAACAGGGGGCACTTTACAGTGATGTAAGGGGAAAATTAATTAAAAATGTGGTGACCCTGAAACATCCTTGCTATAAATGTGCGTGACAACGCTGAGAAATCGCCAGGTGTCCAGTGTGGAGTGGAGCAGGGTGCGGGTGGGGCACCAGGCGAGGGCAGGGAGGCTGACCCTGCCCAGGTGGGGTCGTGGGCATCTTCATTTTGGCTCTCAACGAGAGGAGCCTCCCAGAGATTTGAACAGAGAAGTGGCTTGAGCTGTTACTTTAAAAGAATTTTTGGGTGCTATTTAGATGAAGTGAAGAAAGATGGGGTGGGCCGGGGGTCGCCACAAGGGTGCAGGGGCACGTGGGGGGTCGCTGCAAGGGTGCCGGCCCGAGGCCACAGGGTGGACGAAGGGACCCCAGCCCGCGCATCCTTGAGGGAGGGGTCAGCAGTCTGTGCTCATGCTGGATGTGTGAGGGGAAGAGGGGCGCCTGGAAGGACCCCAAGAGCTGACCAGCTGCAGGGATGGCGCTGCCACCCGCGAGCTGGAGCGAGCAGGCCGCGGAGGGTATGCCAGCTGGCCAGTTGGGTGTCCAGGTGTGGGTCTGGCTGGGCTTGGGTGAGCGAGTTTGGAGCTGGGGAGAGAAGCCTCGCCGGGAGGGCGTTTGTGCTTCGCTGGCACACGCCCGGCAGGGCGAAGCCACCCAGGGTCGAAGTGCAAACTGGTTGGTCGCCAGGACCCCTCCAGGGATCATTTTTGGCATCTGGAGCATCTGATTCTGGTCTACAGAGACGGGGACTCAGTGGCTCCAGCAGTTCCAGTCCTTGGATAAGAACCTTCAAGAACGTGCCTGGCCGGCTCATCTCTGGCAGGGTCTCTCCTTCCACATGGCCTGTTACAGCCGATTAAAAATGTAACCAGTTTTGGCATTCTCCTGGCTTTCAGACAGCTTTTACACAGGCACTAAATGGATAATGGATTTTCTGGAAGTGTTTTGTCTTTGCTGCTTTAGTTTCCTGTGTCCTGGGGTGACATTTTCTTAATTTTTTTTTTTTAAACGGGGAAGCAACGTAGGAAAGCTTGTGAGCGAGTATCCTGCCTCCCAGAGGCTTCTGGGATGTGGACACACACCGGCTCGCGCACCCAGGGCACGTGGCTGGGGAGTCTCAGACACCCCCCGTCACAGAGCTTCCCCTGGGTCCGGCCGAGCACCTTGCCCGCCAGAGAAGGTTGCCCCGGACACAGAGGGCAGGCAGTTGTGGGTAGGCACAGCCCCCCTGAGACCAGCACAGACCAGAGCAGGAGGGACACCCTGTGTTAGAGCAGGAAACGGCCAGCTGGGCCAGCCGCTTTGCTGTTGCAGGGGGAAATGGTCAGGACCGCCGGCGGTCAGCACACCTGGCTGGCAGGTGTGGGGGAGGCGCCCTTCCAGGGCCCTGAGCGGGAGGCGCGGGGCCATGTTCCCCGCTGCGTCACAGTGGAATTAAAAGCCAACTGGCTGAGCTCCCTGGTGGCGCGGGGCTTAAAGCGCAGCACTGCAGGCCAGCCACAAGCCACAGCCGCCTTAGCGCGAGTTCGAGCCCCGCCCCTGCGGTGACCCACACGGCGGGGCAGACTTCTCCTGACCCGCCCGCTGCTCCCCTCAGCGGTGTACTTGTCAGTCAGCCTGTTCTGCTCCCCGATCTGAATCCTCTCACCGCCCCTGCACCTCTGGCCTGTACCCCAGTTCTGTATGCATAAATCAGTAAATCTTTTTTTTAAACAAAGTCACCTGGCAGTTGAACTCCTGCTCATCTCTCAGGAGTAGCTGACGGCCGCAGCAGAGGCTCCAGAGTTTCCTCGCGGGTGGGAAAGCCACTTTGAGAGCTTGAAGGGATGCTGGCTCGTGCGTCTCATGGAACACTGCCCCCGTGGTAGTGACCCCGGTGCGTCCCTCTAGCCCTGGCACCGGGTGATTCTGGCAAAAATAACACAACAGGGCGTATTGACAGCGCTGATCACCCGGTCCCTGAGCCCACCTGGACCTGCCGAGCTCTGTTAGGGTGGGCTGAGGGGCTGATGCTGGAGCGTGATCGTCCCCATGCATGGAGCATCCTGCAAGGTCCTGCCCCTTTCTTTGGGCTCCTGTGTCACAGCCGCCCTGAGGCAGGAGACGCAGCCATCCCCCTTGCCTGAAAAGGGGGCGCCTTCGGCCCCAACATCCCCCCTTTGAGAGCCAGGGTTCCTGGCTCCCTCGGCTGCCAGGCGGGCGGAGGGAGGACTTGGCCTCGGTGGCCCTTGTAATGTGGACGCAGATTCTTCTTTGCTTTAGAAATTAGTTAGCTCAGTTTCGCCGCTAGATGAGCCACAAGCTTCCTATCCCCCCTAAAAGTCAGCTCACGGTGCTGCTTGTTGTCACAAGGTCAAGAGAGCCGAGGTCACCCTGGGCATCTCCAGAACAGCCAGGCAGTTGGTGTTAATTATTTGGCTTGTCTCTGGCGACTCCGGACGGACCACATTTCGTGGCTTTAAATGAAACGCTTGAGGTTTTAATCAGAAGTCATTTTGTTTCAGGAACAAAACCCGCATCCTCAGA